AGAGTGATGATCTGTGCCATTAGCTCCATTCCAGAAAGGAAAGGAAGGCTACGCGTCCACTGGAAGCAGCCACAGGCCATGAACAGGGCACAGAAGCCCCAAAACCTCAACATGGGCAAGCAGGATGATACAAAACTTTGCTTTTCCTGCAAGGGCTGTAAAAGAACCGTCAGCTGGAAAAGCTCAGAGTTTGCAAGGTTAGCTTGGAGTTCGAAAGAAGATGGGATTTATTAGTCCTAAATTACGGTGCTTAAACTCTGCCTACTATGGGGCTTCAAAGGAAGGCAAGGGAGCACATAAGAAAAATGCAAAGTCCAGGATCAGATTCAGTGTTATAATAAGCCTGTTAATAGTAGTTAAAAGTATAAACCTAAGAAAAAAGGATTGAATGTGAATTAAAAATATGAAAGGAATGGAATGGAGGAAGAGAAGGAAGACTGGTCTGGTTTTTATTAGTAAGATGGACCAACTGCTTTAAGTATTCAGGACAGATAGTTTTATGTATTTGTACATGAGTCTTTGAATAGAAAATCCTTTCTGTACAAGAAAAAATTAATTGACATGGTTTTCCATAACCACTTTTCATCTCAATCTGCTTCAAGAAAAAAAAATAAATCTATTTATCTGAGCCATTCATAGGAGGTTGCTGTGTGGAAGAGCTCGGCCATTTGAGCCATGTCTGCGCTGTGAGTCCAGCAAGAGCAGCTACAGAAAAACCAAGCAGCTGCCATCACACGGTGCCCTACACCCACAGACAGCTCGAACACTGCCCGTTTCCCTCAGACATTCCCATTGCAAACTTTCTGGAAATCACTGTGCTCCCTCGGCATAAACACTGAACAGAAAAGGAACGAACAGCACAAATATTTAATTTTCCTCTCCAGCATGTTATGCAGTATTTCCAAGCTACTAAAGTTAATTCTTTACCAAATTCAGTAAAATTGACTCCCATGCTTTAGCTCTGACTCATTTTCTCTCTAATCAATTCCTAATTATTATCCACTTCCTCAGAGAGTTTGTGGGGACAGACGCTGCAGTACCATGACTACTAAACAAACCCATGAAAATTGGAGGAAAACGTTCCAGAAAATGCGGATTAAATTGATGAGCTGCTCTGGTAGCTTTCTTCCTCACTCGCTCTGTCCAATTACTCAAATTACGTATGCACTGGTTCTAACAGCAATTTTGTGCACTAAATAACACTTAACAAGTCAGGTTATTGCATATTCACAGAGTAACAGTGCAAAGAGGCTGAACTGGATTCATTCCTGGGGCCTGGAGGGTCCAGCCCTGACTTCCCAGCAACTTGCACAAGAGAACGGAGTTTGGGGGTTGAGGGGAACAAAATCGATGGAGTGTGTCAGACACCTGCACAGCACAGCTGGACAGACAGTGCAGGACGTACAGATGTACAGCGCACACACACCAAGCATGTAAAATCAGCGAAGCTTTCTGCTACGCATCTCTATAGTCAGGAATGACAATGCCCTTCACATCATGAGCAATGCTACCAATCCCTTTGCCTCCAGATAACTTTACCTGATGCTGGTTGAATTTTGGGGTCCAGATGGAAGGTTGCCAGGCTGAGGTTTGCATCCTAAAGTCAAGGGCACAGCAAGGTGAGGCAGACCTTTAGCCATTGCTTCTCTGCCTGGCTCCTTCCTGTCTTAGGGATGTTTCTGCCTCTTGGTGTGAAGCACGCCTCACATCTGCTCTCTGGAATTTAACTTCGAAGTCTGACTTAATGCCAGCCCAGGATGTAATTTTGGTTTCCTTTTGCTGACAGCCATCAGCAGGGCTAATGGGGAGGGGGTTAGAGCAAAGGGAGGGGGGGAACCAAACAAAGGATACCAAGTCACATCCTTACTTTCTGGCTGGAAGAGGGAACAGTGAGAAATAATACAGGAATTTAGGAATAGCAGGAATAATCTCAAATACATAATTCAATCAGGGAGATCCCTGGAACCTCCAGTGAATATTTCTTTATTCTCACTTGAAGGATGAAAAGGACTCCTGCAGCGACCTACCATCGCGTGCAAATACTCAGTGGCCCTCACCATTCACTGCTCCGGACTGGTGACTGCTAACTTCTTGATCACCACTGTTTCTCCTGCATATCTGCAACTGCATATTTAACCACCTCTACAGTATTTTTCTGATATACAGTAATAACACGTATATAATCTAATGCCCTACTAGATGAGTCTCTCGCTGTAATTTGGAAAGATGTAGCTTTAAAAACATCCTCATCTTTCTTAACATAAATACAAAATATTATGGGGAGGGAGGGAAGAAAAAAAGAAATCCTCTGGTACTGAAACCACAGGCCCTTACTGCTTGGCTTGTAAGCCACAGGAAGCAGACAATTGTTACTCATGATCATCTCTTTTACAGCTCGAGACATGGAATAAGTGAACCAGCTTTTCAAAACTACCCCTGAGCATAGCCACACGTAGCCATCTCCTCAGCATCACATACCCAGCGACTCGTTTCCATTTCAGACATTCCAAAAATACTGAAAATCAAGCCAGAATGTCCAATTTTCCTGATTTAGCATCCAACACTTGCTAAAATTTCCAGGAAACTGGTATTTATACACACTGTGCCAAAGCTATTCTGTACAAAGTATTTTCAATTGCACTTCGGGAAGAAATGTGCATTGAAGCCACAAAGAATAAAAACCATTCCAAATCTATAGCCCAGTAACACATCAAAAGGACTAATTAAAGGCTAATTAAAGACAAACTTTTCTTCTGTTTCTCTGCTTATCAGTAATCTTATTTTAAATACTTAAGAAGCATTTAGAGACAATTTTGATTGTAAGAAATCATCTGGGTAGCTGCAAACATGGTTGGATACTAGAAGAGTAAATTCCAAACCTTATTCAGGATAGTCATGAGGTTCTGGATATCTGGTGCAAATAAATTTATTATACATTAAAAAAAAAAGATAAATCAGAAAACCACTTTCAAACGTCTGATGGAAAATGACTGGCTGCAATGAGACCATCCTGCATCCCACTAGATGGAGCTACCGGCCCTGACTACACATCTTAGAAATCTGGTCAAATATTTCGCTAATCCCCGTGGCGAAGGAAAACCATTGGCAGGAGTCAAGCTCATTTGCCTCTTTCCTACTGCACACGCAAACCCCTTGTCCTGCGGCATTTATGCCTCACAGCAGTATCTGTGTAAAGCACAGGCATAAAGATGTGCTCTGCCAGGGGTACATGGGTAAGCCCAAAGTGGCTAGCCAGAAACCAAGTAAAAAAGGTTAATGGTTGTGCACATTAAGAGACCACAACAACAAACAATAAGAACAAAGAGAATCAACCAGCTCTGTAAATGATGCAACTGCTTGTTTGAAATAAAAAGGCAGATGAACAATAACTTCTTTTTAAACTTTTTAACCATTTAAACACACTTAAGCCCAAAGGCTGGCTTTGGGCTTAATTTTTGCTAGTTGGGTTAGGTGCAGAAGCAGAGAAGGTAGGTGGGATTTTTTTAAATTCATTTTTGCCAAGAGCTGGATGCCACCACACTATACACTATGCAGGGCATGGATGCTCCGCAAAATATAATACCACTCCAACAGGAAGCTGAAACATTAACCAACATCAGTAAGGCAAACTTGCAGCACAAACATACTACAAAGCGACTCCACAAGATCATTCTACTTCGGATCTCTTGTCCTAGAAAGTATTATAGACCTTCAGCACTTGGCACCACAATACCCTGGCAGATTTCCAGACATGTCTTTTACCACAGTGACGGAACAAGTAAATCGGTAATGAGGTGTTCAGCCACATCAAGTGTCAATACACTGTACAACTGTGTAAATTTATAGTGATTCCAGGTGAGTAAGGGCAGGCACTGGTGCTCGGGGATCCAGAGGCTCCCATAATTCTGGCTGAAACAGAACTGAAATACAGCTGGTGGGAGAAGGAGCACTATCAGGGATCCTGGTCTAGAGGATTTCTTGCTGGAATTGCGTGGAATACAGCCCTTCTTTACAAATCATAGCCTGCCAGCTACCCAGTTGAAGAGTTTTACTAAGAAGCATTTTCAAAACAGGAGTGTGTTTAGGAATAACAGTCACCAAAACCTGCCTATAGTCCTCGGTTTTATTCTCCGAGACACATATTCCAAAAGAAGAAAGGAAAAGCTGTAGCCTGCTGTATACACAATGAGTAATTACACTGTTATTAAATTTGGTTGATTGTTCTCCTTCACAGTAAGGCAGTCCCATTCACTACCCAAGCTTCAAGGGCATCCATAAATATATGTTTAAAGATTAGTCTCTATGCTAGAGGAATGCCCAACATCCTAGTCAAAACCAGGTCCTATCATACACACACCAGCACTCAAGATTGTTAATGAAACAGCTTATTTGAAAGAGCTTAAGGCTACAATGGTTACAAACATCCTAATATCTGAACTAGAAAGGTGTAGGATCTGTGATCCACAATATGACAATTTCTCTAGTGGGCAAACAGATTTCAAGCATGGGTGAAGTGGTAATTAAAGCAATAAGGAAAAGGTATTAACATCTGGAAGACAGGCAATCTGCGATAGCCAGTATGACAAATTCAAGCCAGCTGTCCTAAGAAAAGCAGATGCACAAGAGTGCAAATACAAGCACATACTGAAAAGTAAGTGTTTCGGTTTATGATGACAAAAAGGAGACCATCGGGACATCCTTTCAGGCAGATGTGCTGTTCAAAGAAAAACACAAGGGGAAGTAAAATGAATCACTCACAAGAAGTAGTACTGTTGAATTCTTTTAATAACACTAGGAAAATATCATAGTATTAAAATCCTGCATGGGATCCTCAAAAGGTTATTCTGGTTGGGATTTCTTTGTGTTTATAAACCAAACTTTTTTTCTCAATTACGTTTTCTTTTAAACCAACTACTCCTTTACAATGGTATTTCCAGTTAAAACACAGCTAACCTATAAATACCTGAATACCACAACACACATTGTGTGCGTGGGTTTTGTTTAAATCTTAGCGGAAATAATGGTAAATCTAGTCAACACAGGGAAGCAAACATTGATTTGTTAAGCAGGGAATGTAACAGCCAGTAAAGAATACATTGCATACATAATACAGAAGGAAAAAAATTATCATCTGGAGTATGTGAAATTACACTGATTTTGCACTTTAAACCTATTAGAAGTTACTCTGTTGGCCAATACTAATCCACTGAACAAGCAGAACGTTGGTCAGAAGTCTAACGTTTCCTGTACCAGCACAGAGAGAATATAAGCAGTCCAACGCTGTTAAAAGAAAACATGAAATCCAGCTCATGTTTCTGGTTAGGGATCGATTTCTTCGGGAACTACTGTTAACATAACATCTTCGTTGCCCCTGCGTACAACCATGTTCAACGTACTGTCCTTTTTAATAATGTCACTGACATCACTGGCTGAACTTATTGACTGTCCATTGATGCTTATAATCACATCATTGTCCTTCAGGCCACCACTGAAAATACAAAGCAGCAATGTATTATTATAATTGCCATTTTATTGTCTTTACAATTTGTTTAAAAAAGAAAGATTACTGGATTTTTCCTATTTCCCACCCCACAGCAGTTGCACAGAGACACAGCGGGCATTCAAAGAACAATCAGAATTTATGAAGCGGTGAAGATTACAATACAATGCAGAAACCTCAGAAATTGGATGGAGGTACGAGTTTGATGAGTCCCGTATTCAAAGGAATTCACTATTGCAAACAGTGCAGTAGTTCTGCAATAAGGATCCTAGATGCTGATTCAGTACAAGAGACAAGGGCGTATTTTTCTTTTTAAATAATTGCAACAAGGCACTCATTTTAGAGGGGAAATTTTCCAAGCTTTTATTCATGTACACATAGCAAAGCAATCTGAGTGGCACTGTTAACACATGAGGAATTTCAGTCCCGGATCCATGCTGTTCTCCATGCATAGCTTACTGGCAGCCACTTCACCTTACCTTCGTGTTTTAGACTTACGCGCAGAACAACACATGCAGCGATCTAGTCCAGTCTCCAAAAATGCATGCATGTCCTTCCCCTTGACCACCTGCCTGTAGCCCCCAAAATCCCTTCTCCTGACCTCAGCACCATATGCAAACCGAAAACAAACCCCTCCCAACTCAAAGCAAGATGGGGCAGAACCAGAGCCAGCACCACAGGCTCCCTCTGCCTGGGGCCGCCGGCCTCTCCCCCCGCTGGCTGAGACTGCTGCTGGGACTGAGGCATGGGGTGGTGAGGGATACCATCGACCACAACATCTTGCCTGGTCTTGCACAACGATCTGGCTCCAAGTTGTGGAAATATTAACCAAGTAACCAGATGAGACATGATTCAGCCCTCCAGCATAATCCTTCTTCACAAAACCACAGAGCAGTCATTGCTGTCTTCCGCCCGCAGAAAACGCCTTACACGAGCGTCTCCTGCAAGCAGGATGCCTTGGCCAACATTTGCAACAAATCTGGTTGCCTACTGAAGGCATGGCTTAAAACATTTCATGGGACAAACCGTTCCGGATTATCTTGGTCTCTCATGCAGCCTCTCCTCTTGACTCATACCCAGGACAGGTCACCGCAGAACTGCTCTGATCCCCTACCCGCCAGGTCTACACAACGTGCATCACAGAGAAAAATCGGCAGAATGGGGAAATCCATAGGCAAGGGGGCTAGGAGTGGGGGAGACAGAGCAAACATGGGCTGCACTTTAATTGCCAGGCCAGCCTTCGGATGAAGCGTCCCGATTTGAGTTGGCTTTCAGGTTATGAGGTTACATTGCCTCACATTTCTTCTACCTCTCTAATGTCCTTCTCCCCCTTTCTGCTAACTACTGTCCTGTAATGATTCTTTTCTGCACCTTCAGACTGGACCTGCATGCCATGGCAGTAAGTTCAGTGCCACAATGGAGCAGCCACATCATTCCTACGCTAACTGCTGTTTAATTGCACATCACAGACCTACACCAGTATTCTGCATGAACAGCACTGCTAATAAGAATTGTCTGCACAAAGCAGCAATAATTCAGAAAGCAAGCCAGACAGCTAACACTGTATGTCTCACAGTGGCATCCAAACTGTGACAGGAAGTATCATCCAACCATCCTCGCAGTCTCCCTAAGAGCTAGCACATGCCTGCTCCATGCAGCTTTCTGCCCACATGCCTTTGGTGCTACATACGCCTCTTTCTTGCCACAAAGATTTACCCTTCTCTGAAATGACCTCTGGTTTCAGTAAATGAATAAAGTTTCCCATCTCCTACCCTGAATTACTAAGTGGTTTTGTATTAACCAAACTCTGACAGGGAAGTGTCTCCAGCAAGAGCCAGCCAGACCAGTGCTGGTGTCAATAGAGCAGATGCCATACTTCAGCCAGGCATCTCGTGAGTGTGGTACCAACCAGCAGGTGAGGTTCTGAGCAAATACTGAATAATACAAAGAAAAAGACCAGCTGGCCAAACCCAAAAGCTCTTCCCAGTAATGTGACTCCTGGCAAAGCTCTGACATGGAAGAGTATCTCGTTCCAAGAAAGGATTTCACTCCCAATGGAGGCATGCCAGGAGAGCTGGTGGGTTTGCCCAACACTGAAGCACTTGGGCTGAGATGGACCCATCTTCCCAAGATGGAAGCAAACCGTCTCCCTTGCTCTCCTACAGCAGTGACCAGAAGGGCCATGGGGAGCATGCACAAGCAAACGTCTTTATTCAGCACTGGCATGGGTACAACAGATGTCTTGGAAGCAATCGCTGAGAAAAATGAAAATTGAGTTTTCACGCCTACTGAATCCTTGCCCTTTCAGCTGGGAATGCTGACAGGGCTTCGCTGCAATACATGGATATGTTCGCAGTATTGCCCATCGGGGACTGGACTGAAACCACAAACTGATTTCCAGCAGACAACCTAATAGCTATCAGATGGTCGTAATTTTGTTAATTTAGCATAATCAAGATAGCCAGTTAAGCAGGGAACATTCTCCATCATTACCTCCTTAAGTCAGTGGCAGTGGTTTTGAGAAAAAAGTAGTTTGACTTACGCTTCAGCTGGTGTTTCTGGAATTACTTCAATAACATAGGCCCCAGAGACAACATCAGGAAAGTCTTTATGGCGATCCTTCAACTCTCTAGCTTTGCTGGAAAATGAAGAAACAGCAACAAAAATATTTGACAAGATGGGAAAAAAAAAGTCATGCATTTTTCCTTAGTTAACTCAGTTAACATTTTACTTATTTGACATTCACTAGCTGAGGTATTTTATGCATGTTGATGTGACACTTCACAATTCACTTTAACCCTTAAAAGTATTTCAGGAACGGTTACACTTTTTGCATGCATACAGCTTTTTAATGCCTGTTTCTGGTAAAGACAATAATTTCAACAGATACAGAGGACCTGAGTTAAAACATTTCAAAACTTGGTTGTTTTTTTAGAACTGGAAAATCCTGAACACCTAAAAAACCCTTCAGTTTTCAGTGCTTTATTATACCTCACCTGTGCATGTAAAAACTTCTAGTTATTTCTACAGGACACAGCATCACCAGCTCATGAGCCTTTTCTGGTTGGAGTATGAACAAGCAAGTCCACACAAAAGCTTCATTTGACATTAAGTGAATTTTTTAATGAAAATAGCTTTCTATAAATGGAAATATGCATGTAGCTGCTGTAATTCTGGAAAACATGCTGTCCTGTTTCCTCCTCAACCCTTGGGACAGCACAGGACAGATGGTAACACAACACTAGTAGAGCCCCAGGACAAATTAGCGATCACTGACTATTCTCCTCTGAAGCATTAAGGAAAAGCCAGGGAGTTGTTTAAAAACTAACTCACAGAGTCTACAGGAGAGTTCCACCATGCAGCAGATGCAGAGAAAGAGGCAGCAAAAATTGGCTGCCAGTTGTGACCAGCACCTACAGAGCACACGCTGCTGGTTCGAACCTCCTGGTTGTTTCTGCAGATCATGAGCTTGATCCAAATGGATGCAGTGACCACACTCCAGAAAGGTGAGGAATCACCACTTTTACTTACCTAGGAGTTAGAGACATCATTCGAATGCCAATGTATTTCTTTTTGGTTATAGCTTTTCCTACAAAAAGGAAAACAGGTCTTGATCAACTGGTCACCAAAAAGACAGCCTCAATGGCTGCTGACTTTCAGTTTTAGCAGTATTTTCATGTTTTTCTCTTTCAAAGCGGTGAAGTACGGTACCTTTAGCTTGTCTGTCATGGGATTCAGTTAGGAACTTTTTGATTTTATCCGATGGGATAGCGAACGAGATCCCTGCTGTAACTTTTAATGTGTTAATTCCAATGACTTCACCATCCTGGAGAAATAAGAATTTTTTATTAGCAGATGTGAAACATCTTGAAAAAAAATGGATGATTTCTTCCAAGCAATCACAAACTCACACAAGATACTCCATAGCTGTTTTCAATTTTCTAAATGGTTTCTGTAAGTCTAATTTCTCTGAATCATTTATCGATAAAAAAATATTCTACAATTTGGAAAAGCAATGTCAATATTCATATTGCCACCAGCAGAAGAGAGATCAGAACTGAGCAGCTCTCCAGCTTGCAGCAGACGAGCAGCATATCCTACAGCTGATTTCGAGCTGTTTATTTCAGCAAAGCACATCACTGACCGGCAGGCGAGGTGCTGAGCGAATACAGCATAATAATGTAAAGAAAAATCACGGTTCACCTAAATCAAAAGCTTTTCCCGGTAATGTGCCTCCAAGAGTGAATTTCAGGTTAAACGTTTCTGCTGACACCTGATGATTCGAACACTTCTGAAATCTCAGCAGCCTGAAATCATCAGCAACCGTGATTTATCCCAGGGTTGGGATAGAACTATCCAACTACAAACGTTAAAATGGAGGTTACTGGTGCTGAAATTATACTGCTAGGTGGGTGAAAAAAAAAATTGCCAAATCTCCAAGGCAGAAACTCTGACTAGCTCTTTCTTCCAATTTGTGCTGTCCCCCGTCGAGGACCACTGCCTCTCCTCCATTCGACCCCGCCTGCCCCCATCGGCGAGCTCTCATACAGCACCTGGGTTTTGCAGCCTGCTTCAGTTGTTCCCTCTTGGGCCGATGCACAGCTGCTGCAAGGTCAGCTCTGGCTATGTTCTACAACATCAGCAAATAAACCCTAGTATCCTGATAAATACGTGGGGTTTTCAACCCCCTCACAGAGATTCAAAATAAAGGGGTAGATATGTTTTTGAATCATTAATCTCAGTCTCAGTATGCAAAAAGAAAAAAAAGTGCCAGCTGCATGGCGTGCAGTGACTGCAAATGCCTCAACTTTTTGCAAGGCACGGGCAAAAAACATCGTGCATTACACTTGCTCAAAACTATGCAAACTGTAAACACCTTAAATATTGAAATCCAAGTGTATCTTGTGATTTGCCAGCATAAACACAGACGGGTGATTAGTAATAACCATGTGAATTTTGTGTAGTCAGCCAGATATGGAATGCTCTGAATCACGTTTCGGGTGTGGGGTTTTGTTTGTTTGTTTGTGTGGGGTTTTTTGCTTTTGTTTTTAAACTAAAAAGTAAAAATTAAAAAGCTTAACACTAAGCAAATAAACTTAAAGAAACTCTTACCAGATTTACTAGGGGTCCTCCAGAGTTTCCATACTGAAAATAAGCATATGACAAGAACGCGCGTTAATATCTACCTCTTAATTCATGGCAAGGAAAACATAAAAGAAATTTTGAAATATTTCTGCAGTAGTTTTTTCATTGTCTATTAAATATGTGCAATAGAACAGTCTTAACATCCAAACCCATTAACTACACTTAACATCATCCCTTTTAGCTGAGCTTTGCAAATGCTTAGTCCTTCTTCTCTTGCCAGAATAAGTTAAGAAAGCCAAGGTTTTTTCTTTGTTTTAATAGTACCACACTAGCAACTTAAGATTTTAGGACAGCTCTGGGAGCTGTTAGTGAAGATTTCTTACAGGGCCAACAGTAGAAGCACAAAAACTATTGTTTTGCCTTAATGCAGAAACAAACTTGAATCCTCAAACTAAACTTGGCGTCTTTTTTAGAAAACATGATGGTTTTCAGAAAGATACTTATTTGCCAGAGAATATTGCCTCCTCCCTTGTAATTCCTAAGAATTCTGAAGTGAAGGCAGATATTGTACTTGGTGTGGTGCCTTGGGAGATTTTTAAATAACAGCGAAGTGCTGCTGCAGCGCAGATGTCCCTATTTACATGGATGAAAGAAAAGCCAACTACGCTCACTCTTCTTAAGAACTGTATCAGTGGTAAAATTTTTGAAGCAACTATCCAAGAAATTTAAGAGCTGAAGGGGACGAAGGTCAGAGCAGGACATACGTTGATGATGGCATCGGTCTGAATATAGTCCATGTCGGAGTTGCGGAGCCCCAGCTCCTTCCCTCCACGCTGAGTGGTACTGACGATCCCCGTAGTAACCGTGTTTTGGAGAGAAAATGGACTTCCAATCGCGACCACAAATTCTCCTGGCCTCAAGTCTGCAGACTGACCAAGCAGAAGAACTGGCAATTTACCCTACAAATAAAAATAAAATGAAATAAAAAAATCAAATCTTTTTAAGAGACTACTACACCGGTAGAACAAATTCTACAGAAACATGAATACGTTAATAGAGCAGAGGAAAATAAGAGAGGCTTTTATCCCTTGGGGATTTTGCTCACTCTGTTCTCTTTGAATATTTCATGTGGTTCTGTACAGAAACGTCTCAATGAACTTCTGCTCTGAAGAGTGGGCTCTTTAGACTGTAGAAGTACTTTTTCCACAACAGGTATCCATTAAATCAAAAACAATTAAAAGACCAAAGGAATGCTCTGTTGTACAAAGCAAACATCTGATGATACTAGGAATGAGTTGTTTCCAACAGCTTCTTGAAATAATTAGCCAACAGATGCTGAAGTAAAAAACCCATAATGTTTAAGAGTGAATGCTGAAGAGTCATGAAAGCAACAGACGAAGTGTATCAAACATGCATATGTATAGTTAAAAGCATTTTATATTCTCCTAAGACACCAGCCAATGTTTCATCTTACTTTTTTTCCAATGGACTATCTCTTCTAAATAATTATATCGCCTCCTACATACACTGATGTCTTCTTCTGAAGATGTTAGGTTTTAAAGACTAGGATTTTTCTGTTATAACAGCAAGGGATACCATTATGTCTTCCTTTCAAGATCTTATCTCTAAACATATTAACTATCATGTTATTGAAGACATTCCCACTAAGACACAAAACATTCTTAAGATCCAGCATCAACAGAGATCACTGCAATTTACAGCAATTAAAAAAAAAAAAAAAGGGAAGGAAGGTTGGATCCACACACCCTCGCCAATGCAACGGATCAAGGGAACTGAGTATGGTTTCTCCAGGACATGTTGTATGTGCACAGGAACTGAAGGGGCTGGATAACAGATGATTCAAATGGGACCAATAACCCCCCCGCAGCAATCAGAAAGCAGCTGGGAAGCTCTTAAGGCCTCCTACTCACCAAGTAATTAAAAAGGATATTCTGAATGAGATCATATTTCAAATAAGTACTTTGCCTTTATTTATCACCTGCCTGCAAAATACACACTGAGCTCCATTTCTCCTTTGCTCTGCATTTTTAAAAATCAGTCTTTTACCCCTTTCAGTGACGTTACACGGTTTTTACTCCTTTTACACTTCATCTGTTGTCCAAACAATCCTGACCCTCCTCAGGTATTTAACTACATGTTTAATCGTGTCACTAGACTATTTCTATTAGCATCGATGGACCTGGACACGTGTAAATTCACATTTCAACTTGCGGATTTGGAGGTTACTGAACCCAAAATCAAATCAGAAGTCTGAAGGGATCTATCTTTGGTTGGCAAACCTAACTTTAATATAGCTTTCCAAAGTTCTCCCCACCTCAAAATTCTTTCCTTTGCTCAACAAACCTGTCTCCAAAAAAAGAAAGGCATCAGGGTAAACTTCCAAAACAGGCCAGTGATTCTAGATGCAGTGGAAGTCCCACCTAGAGATTAAGTTAAACTGGTTTCCAAGGAGTGGGTAACAGTCACATTAATAAAAACCAGAGTACCTGCAAGGTATTTTTGAGCTGTGTACCTAAAATGGAGATACAAATTGGCTTAATAAAACTCCTTCTTGTAATTTGTTCTTTCCGGAAAACTTCTGGAAGGTGCCTTTTTCATCCCATACCTGTTCCAAAGCACACAGATTTATGCACCTATACTTGATGGGATCCAAGAGGTATATAATGTGTGCTCACGTAGCAAAGAAACAAAGTAATGTTTAGTATGCCCTAATCATTTGTATGGATTCCCAAGTTAGTGATAATTTTATTTCAGAGGTCAATAGAAGCTGAATCATTACTATATTTTGGCAAAAAGGGAAAATACTACGTCTTTAAATTGGAAATTGAGAGCTAGCTCTTTAGGGATCTTTTACCACCAGCAGTTTGAAAGCCTGTATTGATAAGTCACCCTTAGGGACAAAAATCCACTAATATAAACTAACCAAAATGCCCATTACTTTCTATTTTTCACCTAGTTTTATTTCAAATATCCTAGGAGATACACAATGTCTGTAAAGTAGAAAATAAAAAATAAAGGCATCAGTCATCATTACATGCTGCTGCAAATACAGAAGTTACGGTTTTAATATTTAGCAAGCCTGGTCCTGCGTATCCTTTATCCAACTTTGTTACAATTCCACCAGCAAAATTTCACTCAGATGAACAGATTGTTTCAATAAAACTCATTGCCAAATCCCAGACAGGATAAGATGCTCGATGGATGGAAACTTATCTTTCAGTCTCCAGACAGCAAGAAAATAATTAACCAACTGCTTGTTAAACAGAATCAGTTGAAAGAGCAACAGAATAGACAACATTGTAAGGAGAAAAACATTTCCCTTTCTAATTATCTTTCAGAAGAAAGTTTTCACAACCAGCAATGCCCTACTCTTAAATAATAATTATCCATGGTCCCTATCAGTGCCACAGCCATAGATAAACCCAACCAAGGCCATGGTTTAATTCTGAGAAGGATTCAACAGCAATGTCCAGTTTCCCCATTGTGTTTGCAGCGTGCAGACAAGCAGCAGCATCCCAAGGCACCACTGCTGAGCAGCTCATCATCTCAGACCACAGCCCTGACTCCAAGGGACCTCCCCAGTACAGCGGGGAAGAGGCAGCTACGATTAGCTGTGCTGGGAAGCACGCAGTATATGCACCACAAACAGCCCCATATGGGTATTGTTTGGATAGAGGGAGCACCCTGGCCCTTCCTTCTCTCAGCAGATGCTATTAAGCTTACGTAGCACGTGTTTTCAAGATGTCATTGGTCAGGAAGAGCATCTCTTTTTGGCACTGCTTTTCCTTATTTAACAAAACCAAAACACAACATAAAAAGTGACATTTGTTTGTACCTCGGTGCGCTGAAAAAGACAGATTTTCTAGAGAAAAAGCACATTTATCAGTAAATGAAACATAGACAGGCAAAAGAAAACAGAAATCTTTTCTTCTTCATTAGTAGCAAAAAAAGATTGGTCTTGTACAAAGTTAAAGATTTATACAATGTTCCTGAGTTATAAAAACAGTCACAAAGCCAAAATCGCATTTGGCAGCAGAAAGAAAAAACATGAACAATCTCTGACTAATACAATTACTTTTCACTGTGCTGAGTTTTCAAGCCTGTGCCTATACTAGCTAGGCTTCGGTTCAAAGTCCAGCGCTGTATGGATTGGCTCTGGGTCATCCGTGTGATTCAACACGCCTTCTGGAAAGAGTTTGGCTAACCTTTCCTTTGCTAGGAACAAAAATCAATTGCAAAAATCGCCTCGCTCTGCACATATAAAACACAGCTTTGGAAAACACATTCTCTGTGCAGTAGGTTTCTAGAAGAGATATAGCCTAAGGTAAAAACGCATTATCTCAAGATAACTACAAAAGTAACTAATGCATTTGATTTGTCATATTATGTTAACCAAGAGAATTAATTTTTACCTGTTATGTAGCCCCATGTCATCGGGAGGGGACGAGAGGACCACCCACATGGGTATCTACACACTTAAAGAACAAGAAGGATGCTGAACACAGTTGAAAAAGAGCTCCGAAGTCTGGGAGTCTACATGGTAAATGAAAACCAGTGGGGTTTGCAAACTACTTGTAACGCTATTCCTTATGATTCCGCAGTGCGGTGCACGGCACACTAACGGCACTGCACGTACATCCTCTCATTACTGCCTCCACAAGTAACTGCCTTGAAGAATTGGTTATGGTGAATGCATGACTTTAAGTTTGGGGTCTTCTCTCTAAAAAAAACTTAAAAATAACACTGCCACATTCAGAACTACACTTCCCATTATCAAAAAACCCTAGGTAGTTATTTCAATTGTAGAGGTGGTTTTGAAGTCAAATCAGTACAAAGCCAGTCAAAATCCCTGGGCATCAAGTGGTCGAGAGGGATTTATGTCCTTCTGCAGTAGGCAAGAGGAGCGCCAGAGATGCAGGGCTAGCCCTTACAGCAGTGGTGGTAACCAGAATCATATCAGAACAGCCCGCCGTGCCCTCACACCCTTCCACTGGCAAGCTCTTGCCTAGGATGTTAAGGCAGACCTTGTCAACCAAGTCTAAGTGCTCGGGTCCAGGGCCCTTAATAACTATGCTTAACAAATGGGCACTCTTCATTTTTTACATAACGTCTGATGGCCATCAGGATGATGTAACTACTGTTACGGCTCGTGATTCTCTTTGGTTAACTATAGATTTGCCACAAGAGTTAATTAAAATCCCAGGCAAACGAGCATGCCTTGCAGCACAACGAACAGGGAGCCAGAAACACCCAGCACCTAAACCCAGCTTTCCCAGTGACTCACTGCATGACCTTGGGCAACACGGAACGCTTTTCCCCCCTCCCTCCACTTTTTATTTGATGAAGCCTTGGGGCTCTGCTGGGATCCATGTTTACTCAATAAAACAAATCTGCAAGCAGGCATCCTGCAAGAACACAGAAATAGGACTAAACATGCAAAACCATAAGTGGCACATGACTCACTGTTTACACCCAGCCAGAGAAGGAGCCATTAATTAGTGTTAATATTTTAAGCCTTTCTCATCCCAAAGGGCTTCAGACTTTTTTATATATGGATTTGACTCAAACCCTGGATAAACATAACTCCCATGAAACGGAGAGCTGCACACCACCACAAGAAATGGCTTCATCCAACAATAAGACGCGGCTATTGTGGCATGAGAGATTAGGACAAGTATAGAAGAACAGCAAAATCAGCCAGGAGCCAGATGTTCACCTGGTGTACCTTAGCAATGTAGCTCGAGGCAGGTAAAATAAGCAGAGCCTTGACAAATCAGCTCTGAAACTAAAAGAAGAGGCAGCCCCTAACCGCCACCGGGCACAGCCAGTGCCACAGAGGAATAAAAACCAAGAGGCAGACGACTGTAACCAGTAGGTATTTTGATTGGAACTTTTTCATCCATGAAATAAGTGAATCTGTCTCTATGTTGGCACAGAA